TAGTGGAGAAAACCATGATAAAAAACAAAACCCTTCGTCAAGTTTATTTTGTTTTTACCATTTAATTGTTTCCATAAACGCTCCATGTCGAACATAATTGACGAAGAGAGAATCGTCTGATCGTCAAGTTTATTTTGTTTTTACCATTTAATTGTTTCCATTAACGATAACATTAACGATAACATAAACGATAACATTAACGATAACATAAACGATAACATAAACGATAACATTAACGATAACATTAACGATAACATAAACGATAACATTAACGATAACATAAACGATAACATTAACGATAACATTAACGATAACATAAACGATAACATTAACGATAACATAAACGATAACATTAACGATAACATAAACGATAACATTAACGATAACATAAATGCTCCATGTCAATTATGTTCGACACTGATAACATTAACGATAACATAAACGATAACATTAACGATAACATTCATTTTTGCATTAATCCTGCTGTGTTGTCAAAATGTCATGTTGTCATCATTTTTAAGAGAAGTTAATTAACCTGGTGACACATAGTGACGTGGTGACACCATCAGTTATTCAAAAATAAATTTTCTTATAAAGCTTCATGGTCTATTTCTTCAACCATTTCACTTCCTTCGTCAATGTCAATAGAAGCTTCTTCAACCTTTGGTAAGAATTTCTGTATAACATCTTTGTTCGTTATTGTCTTCAGAGATGAAGGATAATATTTCACAGATGTTTCACCCTTCTTATATTCTTTCTGTTCGGAAAGATTTAAAGCAATACTGAAGAAGTCAATGTTAGAGTTCTTTATGACAGTATAATGAGTATCTTTGACATTCACGAAGAAACTCTTTTGTTTCAAAACTACTGCTAACTCTTGTGAAGTATAACGTTTGCGGTCAATGACGATAGCTAATGGTCTGACATACTGACCAAACTTAGATTCTTTCACAAACTTCTTGTTAAAGATAACATTAACATTTGAAGCATTATTGAACTCATTCTTGATGGCAGTAGCGAGAGCATTGTATGAAAAGAACTTGCAATCTTGCATGTGTTTCATTAAAATAAAAATATTAAATTATTTTGAAAAATAACTTAAAAAATCTAATCTAATTTTTTCAAAAAATATTTTTTTATTTCCTACTAAAGATGTATCGGAAGTTGTCTAAGTTAGAACACTCGGAAATAAAACAACTTCTTACAGAAGCTAATATAGATGTTGCAAAGCATTACGCAACAAACAAAAAAGCACTCGCTGACATCCTCAATGACTATAATGGTGCAATAAGTTATGATAGAATTCATGAGTTCATAAAGCCGCAACGCGGCGAGGACGAAGTCCATGCAAGAGCATTTCCTTTAAATGACGTTGCTATTGACTTATATCATAGACGTTCAGTACCTCATGAAGTAAGAAGAGAAATGTTTGACATAACAAATGCAAACGTTGGTGAAACAAGAAGAAGAGACGACACACTGAAACAACAGAGAAGAGAGATGTTTAAGAGCGCTATAGAACAAGTTCGCAAAGCTAACGATGTCCTTCGTTCCATTGACGACAAACCAAAAGAAGGTGAGAGATGGTTAAAGAAAGATGAAGAGAATAGGAAGAGGAATGTTAAGACAGGCAATAGACTCATTGACTTTAACATCGAAGCTTTAGATGAACCAAACAGAGACTACTTACACAAACATTTCGGTAAGGTTTTCATGAGACTCTTAGAGAAGATTAAAATAAACTCCCAACAAAGATGGATGGTATGTTATAAACTTGGTGGAAAGTATGAATGTTCTACGTTAAACCTCAATAATATTGGAACATTACTACATCAGCTCTTGAAGGAGAACTTTATATCAGAGATAGAAGCAAATGCTGCAGGTATTGTTGAAATGCACTATGACTTCTTCTTGACAAACATAAAGAATCTTACTGAAATAAAGATGTATGATTTAACAGAATATGAAGGCTTAACGATGTCAGATGTAAAGAAAGGCAAACCAAAAAAGAGACCATATAGAGATGAAAGCACACTGACAAATGACCAGAAAGCCATTTTGGAAGCTCTTAAGCAAACAGGAAACCCAGCACTTATAGAAAGCTTTTGGAAAGATAATGGTGAAAAGAAGTTTTATAAGAAGAGAAGCGGTCAGTTCTGGAAGTATCTTTGCACATTACCTATAAATCTTGAACGCTACCAAATCTTCAATGAACTGAACAAAAGAACTGCAACACTTATGACAGAAGATAACTGCTTCGTTTATGCTTGCATTCAGGCTGGAGTAAATGAAGAAACTATTGACCACATGAGAGAAGTCATTCGTGTTAGAGACTTTCCTCAAAGTAAAGTACAAGAAATTTCTGACGCAACAGGTATAGCATTTAATGTTACCATTGGTTACTTCAATGACTCAAGACATAATGAAATAAAGAGATACATACCAAAAGAATGTGAAACTGTTCGAACTATTGACTTACTTCTTGTTGAAGACCACTACATGCTAAATGAAAGATTACCAATGACAACATATTTCATTCGCAACTATATAGAAATCTTGAAGGAGTGTGGTGGAATGAACATTGAGAAACAGATGAAGATTTATACAAAGAGAGAGAACAAATATATTGTTCGTTATGATAGAACAACACCGTTATGGGATGTTATGAAAACATTGTGGGAGTGCAAATATTTCGAACCTATTTCTTATGGAGAACTTTTCACATATACGACTGACTTATATAAACAGAACCTTGCACCATTTAAAGATTTGACATATGCTCCAAAGTATTGTGTACAACTGAAGAAGAAAGCCGAGTCAAAAGAAGTAAATAAAGCTAAATGTAAGTTCATTCCTGAGCACGTTTTCTTTGCTGACTTTGAGTGTAGCACTGATGGAGTTCATAAAGCTTTAACATTGTTATGACAGTGAAGATGGTTCAGTGAGTGAAAGCATTTGGGGTCAGAACTGTGCAACAGAATTTTTGGAACGACTTCCTGACAAGAGTTTAATATATTTCCATAACCTCAGTTATGATATAAACTTCATCTTAAGACACATGACAGAAGTGAAAGGAACTCCCATCATTAAAGGTTCACGAACAATGCAATAACTGGCTATATAAAGGAAGCAATCATTATTAAAATTCATACACTGTTATAAATAAGAAGCTTAAACTATTTCCTGAAATGTTTCATTTGCAGTGTGGTGAAAAGGAAGTATTTCCGTATCAATATTATTCAAGCTCTTTTTAGCAAATGACAACAGAACTGGTGTCATTTCTGAAGCGTGTAAGTTTATCCGGATGCGATACGTTCATGAAAAACATAGATTCCATCAAAGGTTGCAGAATAGATGAAAACCACTTCGACTTAGAAAAGTATAGCACATTTTATTGCAAACAAGATGTAAGAATTTTAAGAGAAGGTTTTGTTAAGTTCCGCAATGACATATTAAAGAATTTGATTTAAACGTTTATGACTACGTTAGTATTTGTTCTATTGCTAACAAATTGTTTGAGAACAGAGTGTACTTCCCGAATGGAAATTTATATGACCTCTCAAATAAACCAAGAGAATTTATTTCACGCTGTATTCAAGGTGGAAGATGTATGCTGTCAGATAACATGAAACAAAAGAGCGAAAAGAAACTCATTGCTGATTTCGACGCTGTTTCATTATATCCATCAGCTATAGCAAGACTTTATACTTTAGAAGGTATTCCAAAGGTTATGAAGAAAGAAATGTTAAGCACAGAGTATCTCATGAGACATTTATTCGATGACGACCAAAAGGAACCCATTGGTGAAAAGTTTATGTCTGGCTTCTTTGTTCTCATTAAGATAACAGAGATTGGAATACATAGACACTTTCCTTTAATAGTTTGTGACCCTGAACTAAATCCAGAACTTAACGTTCCCAGAAGTTCAAACACTTGCTGTTTAATGTATGTTGACCATATAACATTACAAGACCTCATAAAATATCAAGGTGTCAAATGTGAAGTGTTGCAAGGATACTATTACGATGGAAACAGAGATATTAGAATAAGAGATGAAGTAAAGAAGTTGTTTGAGTTAAGGTTAAAGTATAAGAAAGAAGGAAATCCTTTGCAAGAAAATATAAAGCTCATTCTGAACAGTATTTATGGCAAAACTATTCTATCTCCTATTGAGTCAAAAATAACCATAGTAAATGACAAAGATGCTATAAGATATGCCATCAGAAACTACAACCATATAGTGAAGTTCGAAGGTTTGGATGGTTCAGATAAAACTATTTTCAAGCTAACGAAAAGCATTTGCAGACACTTTAACTTCTGTCCACTTGGTGTTAACATTCTGTCTATGTCGAAGAGAATAATGTGAAGTATTCTGTACTGCTGAAGATATGGGACTTCAAATATTTTACCAGGACTGTGATAGCATGCATATTTTCAATGAAGACATACCAAAGCTTGCAGCAGAGTTTAAGAAGAGATACGGTCGCGAACTTATAGGAAAGAACCTTGGTCAATTTCATTCTGACTTCGCAGAAATAACACCTGGAAAACAAAGTTTAGCATACAAGTCAATATTTTGTGGAAAGAAGACCTACATAGACTTACTCACTAACGATTTAAATGAAGTTGCATTCCATGCACGTTGCAAAGGTGTCAAACAAGACGTCCTTGCTTTAACAGCAAATGAAATGTTTCCTGAAGCTATACAATGCTATTACAATGAAGATAAGAACATTCACATACCTGTTGGAACATATGACAAAGACTCTGAGTTCAGTTTAATGAAACTTTACAAAGCACTTCATGATGGTCAAGAGATTGGATTTGACTTATGTAAGTCTTCTAGTCCTTGCTTTGCTGAAAAGTTTAACTTCTCAATAACGACTAAAACAAGCTTTATTCGTAAGTTGAAGTTCTGAGGTCATTTATTTTTGTCAGCAATGAGGTCATTCGTGATAAAAATAAGCCGCTAGCGGCAAGGGCGAAGCCCATGTGGTCATTTACAATACTGCGATGGTAGAGTTTAAGAGTTGTGCTTCAATGTAGAGACAGTCCTTATGGTCTGGAGGTAAGAACACTGGGCAGTTATGGTCATGAGTGGAGAACATGTCTATCCAAAACTCACGATTGAAGCCAGTTAATTTATAGTATTTAGGGTTAGGAAGTGGTGAAGTTCTTGTATGACCAATGAACTCATTTTCAACTCCCTTACTTAAGTTTGAATATAATATAGCTTGCTTTCTATCCCAAATGCCAGGTGTTACAATCTTTGAAAATTCATTTTTCCTCGGAAGCATTGCATCATAATTGAAAACATTCTTGAAATCATCACTTGGTTCAGAGATTTGAAATCTTATACGTAATGGATTTTCTTTCTTTTTAGCTACTTCATTGAATGGTGAATATATAACAAACTGACAGTCATGAGTTCCATCTTCATTTTCATTAAATTCATAATGAAAGTCTATAAGTTGTGGCTGACTACCTTCTTCTTTCAGTTGTGCAAGAAACTCACGTAAAGGCTGTAAAGTTTGTACTTCAATGTTGAACTTTTTCTCGAACATCTCATTAAATGAAATCATACATTGCAACAATGTTGTATCGTCTTTAAAGTATTTGTATATGTGAATGTTTTGGGCGCTTAAAGACTGTTCGTCATTTTCTATCTCGACTTGAAGTATAAAGTCAACCTTTCTGAAAGCACGTGTTATATACATATGTTATGCCAATGTACTTCTCTTCATTTATGTTCACAATCCAGTCTGTTGGAAACTTAAACGTTACTCTGTTCCCCTTTATTTTGACGTCAGGGTTTTCACTACTGAACGCAACAGATAAAGGTATTTGTCTATACATTTAGTTCGATAAAAATAAACCATTTACTCTTTCTTTGCTTCAGCTTCTTTAGCTTTTGCTTCAGCTTCTTCTCTTCTTCAGCTTCTTCTCTAGCTTTCTTCGCCAGCAAACGTGGGTTCTTTTGTCTTCCAGCAGCTAATGCAGCAAGTTGTTTTTCACTAAGTTTTCTCTTTGGTCTCTCTGGCTTTTGTTCTTGTTTTTGTTCCTTCAGTTCGGATAAAATTTGCTCACGAATTTCTTTCTTCAATGCTTCAACATCTATGACCCCTTGGGTCTTGTCCGTAGGGCTTGTCTGAGTCATTTGACTGCAGATAAAAAACAAAATTAAAACTTTAACCGATGTAAAATGAGCTTGTCAAAATCAGAGCGAGAGTCTATTATATTAAATGACGCAAGAGGAATACAACATCCTTTCTATTACGTAAGTCAGAGTAAAGATGGTAAAATATACGTAAGAAAAAGAAAGGTTCCATTAGCGAATGCAGAAAGCGACAACATTAAGGTGCATGGCACCGAGGGCGAAGCCCATATAAAACCTTCTGTTCAAACTGAGCCAAAAAGAACAGAAGAAAAGAAGCCAGATGTACTTTCAATAACGAACCAAGAGCTTATTGCAAAGTTCGTGAATTTCATTGAAAAACAAACCGAGTCAAAGAACCTGACGCCAGTGAAAGAAGTTGAGACAAAAGAGAATGTACAGTTCATTGAAAATGTCAAGAAACAACTTCCACCACGAATGCCAAGAAGAAGAGTGAGAATAATGAAGTAAATAGATATTTTTATCTGAAGTAAATACATGCAGAACGAACAGCTAAACGAATTTACTCCAGCAGAGCATATTCATCAGATTCGCTCATATTTCGATATCATAGACAATGCAGTTCAAATTGGTGACACTAATAGAAAATATTCTGACGCAAAGATTCCATCACAACCTGGAACTGCTAAAGATAACACATGGGTAACATTCAATCTCTCACCTCCTGGTGAAAATATGTTGGACCTTTACAATACATTCATTACGTATAAAATGGAAGGTCAATTTATTGTAGATAAAGAAATTGGTTCAGGTTCCAATAAAACAAACCCACCAGGATTTTGGATTGGTTTCGATGACGCTTTCTATGCAGTTGCTGGATATCAAATCCTTGCAAATGGTCGTATCGTATATTCTCAAGACAACGCAAGAGAAGAAGCATATATAACTTCAAACTCACAAACTACCGAACAAATAAAGAAAGTAGATGTTTTCTCAAAGACTCGACATGAAGATGTATGGAGTCATTCGGGAACATGCAGAACAGGACAAATTGTTAGTGGTCCAATTACAGCAGGAAAATCATTTGATTTTAAGCTTCGTTTAAGAATTCCTGTTAGAAGATTCCTTCCATTAGAAGCTATTCGATTTATTCCAGCTTTTGCAGGAAACATTCAGCTTAAAGTAAAGTTCAGTAGCGACGCCTTACAATGCACATCTATATCTGTAAATGATATCATTGCTTTCAATCCAACTCTTAAAGTTGCATTTGCTTCAGATTCAAATCCACCGACAAATAAATTTGTTCCATGGAATGAACCATTCACTATGATAACGAAGGCAGTAGAAGCTAGTGGAACAGTTACTATTACAACTGTAACCCAGCAACTATTTCGAACAAAGATGGATTTTAATGAATGTTTCATTCATCCAAAGTCATTCTCTTTAGACCCTAACATTTATACAGAACTTGTAGAACATTATACAAACGAGGCTTTATGTTTTCCTGTTAAAGTTATGGATTGGATTCCTATGGACGGTTCATTCTCAAAGAATACAGATAGTTCAAGTGCAACATTTACAGCAGCTTATACGCCTATTAATGTTAAAAGTATTTGGGCACTATTTAGAAAGAAAGACAACTATTATGTTAATTTTGAGAACCCTAAGTTTAAATATCTTCAGCTTTCCATGGGAGCTTATGGAAATATGCCTGCAGAACCTGAAAAATCATATGGACCTGTATTTTATGAAATGGTTGCGAACGCCCTGCAATACAAACAATGATATGATAGGATTTAATGAAGATGTTATGAGGTCATTGGTGGATGATGGTAGTGTGGAACATAAATGGGATAGCTATGACAACACACATTTCTTATGTGGTTTTCCAAACAGAAGTGGACTTTTGCTTCCAGTAAGGTCAAACATCTACTGCTCCAATAACATACAATTGTCTGTTAAAGGACCTATTGAACTAGCAACTGAAAATGTACCAAAGCCACTTATTGGATTTATGAGGGATTGTTGCTTTGCATTCAGGTGCGTGCTAATGGCATCCCCATAATAAGATTAGATGACTATAACTTAGCTACGGACGACAGTGAGGAATAAAGGATGAACGTTTATTTTTAAAGCTTATAAATGAGTTCTTCATCAAGCTCTCGTGAACCTTCACCATCTATGAAACAAACTTTACCAAACGATTATGGAGCACCTATTGAATATTTCTTACGAGCTGCACAATGGCAAAGAGCAGTCTCACCAAGGTTAGGTGTTCCACCAGCTCCTGTCAAAAATAGCATTTGGTCAAGTCCTTATATAAGATATGGTCTCCCACTAGGTTTGCTAGCTACAGCAGGAGCAGTTATGATGTTGAAAAGAAATAAAGCAAATGTTGTAAATAATACTGAAGTAGCTGAAGTTAAACAAATTCCAACACCTTCGCCAAAACCAACGCCTTCACAAGCAAAACCTTCAATGACTCCTGAACCTATGGAAGTACAAACTCCTGTTCAAAAGTCAACTCCTAAACCGACTCCAACATTTAAACCAGAACCTACTCCTCAAATAAATCGTAAAACTCCTGCGTTTCCTTACTGAAAAAATAACGTTATTTTTATTTAATATTAAAATTTTTATTTGATTGAAATGACAAATAAAGTCACTGAAGCAATGAAACAAAAGTTTTTGGTAGAATACATTAAATCAGGAACTATTCCAGAAGGTTTTTACATTCATACTATGAAGGATGGTAGAGTTCAGTTTAGAAAGATAAAGCAACCATTAGATAAAGAAGGTATATTAAGGAAGATTAAACTTCATGAGGACAACATTGCTGAACTTAAGAAGAAGTTAGAAGAGTTGGAGAAAGGAAGAGAGTTATAAAGCAATGAATTCAACAGGGTAGAAATGAGGTTAGAAATCGGGTTAGATATACCCTTCTACCCTAAATTTATTTTTGGGCTATGTTTTCATACGTGTGAGGGTGGTGATATCATTAATTTTTAAGTTTATTTTTTATTTTATTTTTAAATAAATGACGAAAACTATTGAGATAACAAACTACAACGGTCATGAGTTCAAGAATTTGTTCTTCGTTCCTCGTGAAAATACATTCTATCAGATACGAGGGAGAAAGGGTAAAGTTAGTTTGAGCGTTTATGAAGGAATGAAGAATGGAAAGTTTATACAAGCATACGATACAAACGGTAAACGTGTTTCATTAGCTTTGTCAAAACTTACTAACATTTATTTTGACAGTGACTTTGACTCTGACGATTGGAGCGACAGCAGCGATACTGAAGAATATGAAGTATTGTGTGAAGCACAGCAATGGGAGGAGTTGCAATACTTTTGTAAGTGAGAACGTTTATTTTTACAGTAGTGAAGTCGTTTGTGAAAACGTTAGTGAGGTTAAGTGGTTGGCGGCTTTATAAATATTTAAGGTTAAGTTGGTGTTGTCGTTTGTGTTGTAAAATATACGTTAACGGTTTTGTAAAGTGTCAAATTCACATATAATGGGTAAGGAGGCGCGCAGTGCCTCAGTACACAATATATGTATACTAACTACAAATTACACGCCAAATCAAATGTATCAGCTGAAACCGAAATACACAAATGCAGATACAGAAAGGTTGTGGCAAATATGGGATACAGATACAGGCATGACCGCTGTTGACACATTCACAGCGTAATAATAAACATAATTTTTTAATTTCATTTTTAACAAGTTTTTTTAAATGTATGTAATGAATAATTCATTAGAATATGATAATGCACATTGTAACAGAATAGAACAATCACCAAATTTTTTTTGAAATTAAAAATAAAAGTAAAAAGTATAAAGTAATCTAACCAAAAAAGATATTTAAAAGAATTTTGGAAAAAAGAATAAGGATAATGATATTATTTTAGATACACAATCGATGTACTGAAGAATAATCCGGTAAAATGATGATATAAAATTAGATTTTTACAAGTAGCTAAAAGAATAAAACTATAATATAAAATAAATGAAGTTTAATGAAACAATAAAGGTTAAATAAATAATAAAGATTTTTATTTTATATCAGTATTGAGAAGAAGTAACAGCTGACACTTGGTAGACAACTTCTTTATGTCTAGAAAATTCTATCTTGCCTTTTATTTTTTTCTCGCTGTGAAACGTATTCGGTCATTTTTTAAAAAATTAATTTTTTGTTAGAGATAAGAGCTAAAACTTTGCAGACAACTCCCCCATGTCTAGCAAATTTAACATTCGTCTCCCATTTTTATATATTTGGTTTAGAATGTTCGAAAATGCGTAATATGGTCATTAATATTAATTGAAAAGAACCTTGAATTAATTCAATCTGATCTCACAAAATATTTTAAATTACAAACTTTGTAGTTTGAATAGGTAATTAGTATTAAACTCAAATAACTAGTTTATTTTTGAATAAAAATTATTTGAATTTATTCAATTTTGTGAATTTTCCTTCAAAAATCAAGTTTAAATATCTTATTTGCCATATAATTATAAATACAATGAAACATATTCGAAATTGAAAAGAATGACTTTTTCTGTTCTTTCAATCATTCAATTTGAATTTTGCAATATTGGATTTCTCATTAAATAGATATTAAAAACAACAAGCAATTTAACTTACATTCAAATTTATTTGTGTTATATTCAATCTTCTCAAAACTTATAATTTTCGGCTATAGCATGATTATATGCTATATAATATAATATAATAAACCTATAATAGTATCATTCTTTCAATTATTTGAAGAGAAAACCGAAAAAATCTATTTTCGGTCTATAACAATATGATTAATTTTTCATTTGGTTAATAAGTGAGTAAGCAAATTCTTTTAGCAAGTTTGAAAGAATTATTTAAAAAGTTAAGGGTGGCTTCCGACCAAATTGTCACTTTTTAGCCCAAGTGAGAAAATTTCGTAATTTATAACCAAGTTTTTTAAAATCTATATTTAATAAAGATTCTATTTTTCTTATTAAATTTCAAAAATGAGGGGGTTCGGAATCGTCCACAAATTGCCGAAAGGGTTTTTGCCAGTTTTGAATCCGCTTATTTTTATCGACCAAAATTATAATAAATATAATTTTCGATAAGTATTCTACCCAAATGATTCTTCAAAAAATTATTTTTCGGATTTTATTCCGTAAAACAACGTTACAGAAAACGCCTATAAAATTTCGAATTTTCCCTAAAAAATTCAGTGCAGGTCGATTTAAGAGATTTTTCAAAAATAATCATATCAGTAGATAGGGTATAATATAGAGGAGCTTTATGAATAACTCAAAATCCGGGAAACTCAATATTCAACGAGAAAAACGCTTAACGAATCTCACTTTTGGTGTAAACATCACAAAAAATTGAGAGAGTTTCTGGTCGGAAGCCTCCCTTAAGTTTTGCAGTTTTAAATTTTCAAGATTGGTGTGTCGTAATATTTTTCAAGCTTGCAATTAACAAGAATTAAAGGATTTTCAATAGTTATCAACAGTTTTTTTTTTCAATAGAGCAAAATAAAGCTGAATCCAAATGGCAAATAGAGATGATTTTTTCAGATGGATTCAACAAACTCCAAGCATAATTGACTATATAGAAATATCTTCTGCATTTAACCATCCGAAAAATATGTCTTTTCAAGAATATAGAACCGTATTCCACAATAAAATCATCGAAGATATTAAAAATTTATCAAAAAGCCAATATCATATTACGCACAATATCAAATCATCAAAAGTTCCATCGCCACCTCCGCGTTATCATGATTTATCTAAAATGTATCACACAGCTTTATTTCTTGAAAATGAATTGAGTCAAACAATATTCGCCAAGAAAGAAAAGATGTTCATTGTTTTGAACGATCTACTTAAATTATTTACGACACCAAATCTCATTCCTGATGATTTCATAGTTAAAGTCGATCTTGACAAATTAGCTTCCACAAATGGCCAGGATTGCTTTGAAATTAAAGCACTAACTACGAAATATACTCAATTTTTAAAATCTTATATTCGAAGGATTAACATTATTCCTGATTTTGACTATCGTCATCGTCGTATTCTCAAAATATTCGAACTCGTTAACAAAAATTTTGATCCAAAATTATGTTTTTTCCCTCCTTCAGAGTATCAAGTTAATTTTGAGCATTTTGTTTTTGCGCCTGGAACGCCATGGTTACCAAAACTTGATGATTTAATTGAAAACTTCTTTAAATATCCACCAGAAACATCCTTAAAAACGATCATTGACATTGCAAAAATTATATGTCACACATTCTCACTAACGGAGAACAAACATATGTCGATGACAATTGGATTTCTTTTTAGACTTGTTTTCGATGAAGTTTACCCACTTAATACTCAGTTACTTCATACCAATCTTTCTGAAGACATTGTATCCAAAATTCGACAAATGACAATTGCTGAACTTGATCCTCCTCGTGATTTTTGTCCAAAATGGAATAATGATGATATTGCTTCTGTTGTTTTCAAAAATAACGAATTTTTTAAAGAAGCCATCGACATAATCGAAACAATCCATTTTTATTCTAACCCGCTTGATGTTCTTCGTATAATATACATGGCTCTTAATGTTATAGAGAGAGCCGCAAGTTACTACGCAAACGATAAATCTTCAATATCTATGCTCCCATTTGAAGTTATGTTTGCACTGCTCATTGGAACAGTTCTTGGTTCCTCAACGCCAGAAATTGTTCAACTATCCCAGTTCACAATTAATTACACGCCAAAATTTGGTTTAACTTCTGAGTATCAATTTGCTCTAGCAAAATTGACCGCATTATCATTACATCTCAAATCAATAACTAGTCAAAAATAAATTGTTTGTATATCTAATTTTTTTAAAAAAAATACCTTTGAAAAAGAGCGGAACATATATTAGTATTCTTTAAATATTTTACTTTCCACTTCATTTATATGCCTAGTCAATATGTTTTGGTAATCGTTAGATTGTTACAGATCCAATAATCGACTCATCATCTCATATAATAAGAAAAGGTACTTCGGAACTTTTTCCCTTGATCCTTGGAAGCCCAAACTTTGTCAATATAATTAAGTTACAAATATAAGGTTCGATGCAAAGTATGGCGGACTTTGGCCTAAGGGTTTTGGAGAGAAAGTGAATTCATTTTTGAATACATTGATAAAAATTTTTTTTTGGATTTTTATACATCTTGACAGCAAATGCAAGAACTTGGCATTGTTCCAATTGAAAACTGATTGGAGGTGTTATTATTATCTGCGTACTGTCTAATAGGAAGAGAAATTTAATATGATTTAGCAAAACAAAAAATTTACTTTCAATTCCAAGACACTAAGCGAAAACTATCATGGTCATTTCAATAAAATAATATTTCAGATAGAAAGTATCGCAAAAAACTGCTTATTGGTTGACTTTGAACCAACATTTGCTGATTCGACGAATATTATACTAAAAAACTTGTGTTATCTTTAATTAAAAAGAAAATGCTTACCTACTATTATACTAGGGAAGATTTTATTCATGTTTGTACAATAAAATTTCGAAATCATGAAGAGCAGAAGGCTTGAAACTTCATGCTTCTCTTTGCATATTCCTTTTAAAACAAATCTTTAAATAACTACTTAGTAAAATTCTTTTTATTTTAAGATAAATATACTTAATAATTCATTTTACATAAATTATATGATAATCTACTATATTTTTCCTTTTGTTAGTACTATTTTTGTGAAACATGTCAATATTCAATAAACTTTTTTTGTGAATAATTATTTACTATTAAATTGATCATATATATGGAGAAAAATGCCAATTTTCGCAAAGGCATTTATTATAATAGGCATCTATAATTCCAAAGATTTTTCAATTTTGCAATTTTCAATTTAAATGCATCTTTTTTTTAATTTTAATTTCTTTTTTTCAATTTTTTTTTGAATTCTAAGTGGAATTTTATTTAAAATAAAGCAGATATCATTAATATATATGGCAATGTCTTCAGTTGTTTAGAATCATTTCCTTAAAATTATGCTTTTTAAGTAGAAATTTCAAACAAATCACATCCTCCCGGGAACAGGACAAATTTGCCACATGGCACTTTTTTTAAAAAAAATTAATGGAGCGGAGCGATACTCTGCTGCAGGAGCCCCAAGGCTCCCAATCATTACGAAAGGGAGCCTCAGGGCTCCTGAGAATCCATCAGCAGAGGCCTTTTCATTTGGCCTCTGCTGATCAAAGATTCGGCGAAGCCATTCTTCGTCTCAGGAGCCCCAAGGCTCCCAATCATTACGAAAGGGAGCCTCAGGGCTCCTGAGAAACCTCTTTGAGAAGGTTTTCTTTAAGAAAACCTTCTCAAAGATGATTGTCAGCATTCACTCAAAATCTACCAAGAGTTTCAAAGTTTCAAATCTATCTGAAATGAAGCTTTGAATCTCTTGTATATCTAATTGTAGAGGTACCTTTTCAAAATGTCTTCTATTGATTAAATTTAATCAGTAAAAGTCATTTTGAAAAGGTACATCTCTATAATTGCTATTGAGCATTCACTCTTGGAACCTTGGAGCTCTTGTGTAGTGCATGAAAACTCCAAGATTCTAGCATAAAACATATATCATAGACATAATTTCTTCAAATATAATTTAAGGTTATTTTTAAAAATTAGAAAAGCATAATTTAAGGTTATTGAAAAGGTGACACTTGGCAAATTTGTCCCGCACTCCATCCTCCCAATGAATATTTATCGATACTTTAGTAAGACATACACTCATAAAGGATGTTTATATTGTTGTAAACAGAAATTCATCAAAAGTGACACCTCAGAAAAGCTAAAATATTGAATTTTTGGAACTTTTGATAGAGCACGTTTTTAAATATTAATTAAAGTAAATGTATATTTTGTAAAGATTCTTTTTAATAAAAAATAAAATTTTGAAGAAGAACACAAAATCTTCTGAAAAATAATATCACATAAACTCATATTATTTTCTAATATATAACTATTTTCTATAAAAATCAAATTCAATGATCTTAAAAGCGAAGGATAAACCTCAAAATTTACGAATATAATGAGTGGGAATATAATGCTTATCTATCATAAAACCATATGAAATATCAATTTTTGCTTTACGCCTAATTTTTGACGACAATTAGCAAAAAATGTTAAATGTTAACACTCAGTCCATTTGAATATGAAAAATAAAATTGACTTTGATTAAATGTTTTTATTTATCATGCAATTCTTCTTGCGACCAAAGATTTGAATAAAAGTTCAAAAAATAATAGCTTAAAAAATAATATACGGTAGTGTTTACTAATAGATGAATAGTATATAAATTCTATTAAAATGGATTTGATCCAAAAAATATAAAACCAAAAATAATTGTTATAATTTAAATGAAGAAGTAATTTAAAACGATTTTATTTATGATCAAATTTTATATATTTTTTTGGATCAAATCCATTTTAATAGAATTTATATACTATTCATTAGGGCTGTACAAGATTTAAAAAAACATTGCCGGGTTACCGTAGAGGCCTAAAAAAATCGCGCCTCGGCGGCAAGCCGCCTCGGCATTAAGAATGCGCATCTAAATTTTTATATGTCCTTCTTTCTTTTATTTTTCCCTTCCCTTTCTTTTCTTTTTCTTTTTTTTCCCTCCTCTTGCTCTCATTTACCCTTTTTTTCCTTTTCTCATCATTTTTCAAAATTTTAAATTTTTATCAAAAATCTTGCCTATAAAAGCAGACTATGGAACCTTTTAATGCCTCTTAATCAATATTATACAGCATAAAGCATATTAAATGAAAGTAATTACGTATAAATTTATTTTATTATCTTATTTATTAATTCTTTAGCATGTATTGTTTAATATTAACTTTTCTGTACATTAAATATGATATCTCCAAAGTATGAATGCCTTGTAACGAAACGAAAACTTAATTTTATGTTGAATATTTGTCACAAACATTAGATTATTAAAATATATGTTGGATATCCTTAGTATGAGACTTCATGACTCTTGTAGTCTAACGTGAGCTTTGGATTGCAAGCTCTGTGGTTAACGAACATAAATTAATTGTAAAGTTTTCAAAATTTTTCATCGTTTCTATCAGCATCTATTTTTCCTTTAAAATAATATATTTGTATGAATACAATATTTAGTAATTTTTTTATTTCCCATAATTTCATTCAAAATTTCAGAAAAAATTAATTTCTATTCAATATTATTTCAGCTTCAAAACACTTCATTCTTATAGATGTTTGATTCACTAAAGTGTGATACTCAATGTCTTATTTCAATGAAAATTGTTCTGCAAATTTATTTCACTTTTGACCTCACTTTTTCCGTAATTCAATTTTTTACTTTAATATTTTAGATCTTCATAATATCATTTGAAAAATTAACATATAAAAAATCAAGTTAACAATTCACTTTTTCCGTATTCAAAAATCAAAATATAAATAATATATCTTTTTATCAAATATTATTATTATATTCTATGAAAAATGAGGTCCGGAAATTTTGCGGATTCCCGTAACTCAATTTTACGGAAAAGTGCAGTAAACTATTCAAAATACGGAAAAATTGGTGTAAACTAATGATTTTACGGTAAAATCACGGAAAGTCCCCGGAAGAATATATGTGCCTATATAAATTATACAAAAATGAATCAAACGCATTTTAAAAGATTGTTCTTGTATTATAAATGCTATTCGCTGATTTATTAGTTGAAGAAAATTACCAAATTTTTGCCGATTTACAAAAAATGATTTACAAAGCATATTTTTATAAGGCTTTAAAAATCTTTAAAATGTGACCGGTGACGGAAATCCATGGTAACCAACCGCGGTTCCCGTTTGGAATGCCATACTATTCATCTATTAGTAAACACTACCGTATATTATTTTTTAAGCTATCTTATTTTTTGAAGTTTTATTCAAATCTTTGGTCGCAAGAAGAATTGCATGATAAATAAAAACATTTAATCAAAGTCAATTTTATTTTTCATATTCAAATGGACTGAGTGTTAACATTTAACATTTTTTGCTAATTGTCGTCAAAAATTAGGCGTAAAGCAAAAATTGATATTTCATATGGTTTTATGATAGATAAGCATTATATTCCCACTCATTATATTCGTAAATTTTGAGGTTTATCCTTCGCTTTTAAGATCATTGAATTTGATTTTTATAGAAAATAGTTATATATTAGAAAATAATATGAGTTTATGTGATATTATTTTTCAGAAGATTTCATTCTATATGCCTATGAAAAGTACTCTCAAAACTAACTTTTTCCTAATTATAATTAAATCTAGAATATTGTATTATGCTTAGTATTATTTCATTTTTCTCATTCAATTTAGAATTTACAAATGTCAAAAAATTGAGAGCTGTCACTTTTGATGAATTTCTGTTTATTACAATATCAAATTGCATAGGAAATTTTTGTATTTTCTCTCTAGATTGCCAAAGCATTTTATATTAAGATTCTTCAGTCCAAAGTATATCATTGTTTCATACTAATAACATGGATCAATTCCTCTTAAATGACCAGAGCCATTGAAACAATCTTCTCTGGTGCCACTTTTTAGAGAAAAAAAGTATTATTCTCTTTGCTGTATATTACTTTTAAAAGGAAATTAGAAGCAAAACCAATATAAACTTAACGGAAATTATCAAATCTGAATAAGTAAACGGAAATCTTTTGATTTAAACCGTCAAATACGTTTTTAATCACAACTCTTCATGGTTCGTGAAATTGTTCACATCCAAGCTGGACAGTGCGGCAACCAGATCGGCGCTAAGTTCTGGGAAGTCATCTCCGATGAACACGGCATTGACCCAACAGGCTCATACCACGGTGACTCTGATCTTCAGCTCGAGCGCATCAACGTTTACTACAACGAAGCCACAGGCGGCAAGTACGTCCCACGTGCTATCCTTGTCGACCTTGAACCAGGCACAATGGACTCCGTCCGTGCCGGCCAGTTCGGTCAGCTTTTCCGCCCAGATAACTTCGTCTTCGGCCAGTCCGGTGCTGGTAACAACTGGGCTAAGGGCTACTACACAGAAGGCCAGGAACTTTGCGAATCCATCCTCGATGTCATCCGTAAGGAAGCTGAATCCTGCGACTGCCTTCAGGGCTTCCAGCTCGTCCACTCCCTCGGTGGTGGCACTGGCGCTGGTCTCGGCACACTCCTTCTCAACAAGCTCCGTGAAGAGTACCCAGATCGTATCCTCTCCACATACTCCATCGTCCCATCTCCAAAGGTTTCTGATACAGTCGTCGAGCCATACAACTGCACACTCTCCGTCCACCAGCTCGTCGAGTCTGCTGATGAAGTTTTCTGCATTGATAACGAAGCTCTTTACGATATCTGCTTCCGTACACTCAAGCTCAAACACCAACATACGGCGATCTTAACCACCTTGTTTCCATGGTTATGTCCGGCACAACATGCGCTCTCCGCTTCCCAGGTCAGCTCAACTCCGACCTTCGTAAGCTCGCTGTCAACCTTGTTCCATTCCCACGTCTCCACTTCTTCATCGTTGGCTTCGCTCCACTCACATCCCGTGGCTCCCAGCAGTACGCGCTCTTACAGTCCCAGAGCTCACATCCCAGCTCTTCGATAACAAGAACATGATGGCTGCTTGCGATCCACGCCGTGGTGTCTACCTTACAGCCTCCGCTCACTTCCGTGGCCGTATGTCATCTAAGGAAGTCGATGAGCAGATGCTTAACATCCAGGCTCGTAACACATCCTACTTCGTCGAGTGGATCCCATCCAACGTCAAGTCAGCTATCTGCGATATCCCACCACGTGGTCTCAAGATGGCTGCTACATTCATCGGCAACACAACAGCCTTCCGTGAACTCTTCACTCGTGTCGACTCCCAGTTCCAGAAGATGTACGCTCGCCGTGCTTTCATCCACTGGTACGTCAACGAAGGCCTCGAAACAGTCGAATTCGATGAAGCTCGCTCCAACATGACAGATCTCATCCAGGAGTACGAAATGTACGAAACAGCCGGTGTCGAAGAACAGGGCGAAGGCGAAGAAGACGAGGAAGGTGAAGCCGCCGCTTAAATATAAAATTTTGATTGATATTCTTCTTATTTTTATTATTTTCTAATTTGAACTTATGAACCAAAGATTGAGGAAAGTTAAATTTTAATATAACAAACAAAAATTATAATTAAATGTTTTTGATGTGCAAAATTAGAGCCTGTAAATTTGAATATGAATATTCAAACGATGGAGAAAGACATTGTTTTGGGATATATTCATCAATGAAAGAATAAAGACGTCCTAGACTAGAAATATCAGATGCAATAGCAGTTCCAAAGAATAATGAAAATAAGTCATCGAAACAAAGAAGAGAATTCACATCTTCAAGAGATGCAGGATTAACACCTAGTCTGTTAATCAATGCTGCCTTATGAATGCACACAAGACATTTATGAACTGCAAAAAGGGCATCAAGCGGGTTAGATTCATACTCTGCTAATGCCAGGAATTGAGATGCTGAATAAAAATGGGCATCATTTCTAAATACATCTCTTATACATGAAGAAGAATCAGATTTTTGCATTAATCCAAGTGGAAATGGAAAGTCTGATAGAGGTCTTCTAGCAATCTTCTCGATTTTCTCTGAAATTTTATTATCTTCCTCAGAACAAATAAAGAAATTGCTATACTTCTGATACACATAGTTAAAACCAACCCTGAAAAGGATGAGGATGCAGGCAGACATTTCTTCGGGAGTTTTCAAGTCTTTCGGCATCCACTCATACGCAATTTGTACTAATGACTGAATAAAAGGTTCTTTGGGAGAGTTAACTTTAAGTTCTTTGAAAATTGTTTCAATTTCTGTAGAGAATTTAGTTGGCCTTGAAAGAAGAGCCCGTGAAATTTCAATTTCTTGCTCTGTGGGATAAAAATAAGACGTTTTAGAGTCAGTTCTTAATACTGATTCTCGAGCAACAGTGATAAGGTATGATTGAAAGTCTGACACCCATGCTGGGGTCTTTATTTTTGCTAGAGTGGATCTAATATAATTGATACGAGCTGTGAGGCGAGAATCCTTATTAATTGTTGACTCCTTTTGAGGAAAATCTTCAAATGCAAAAATTTTCTGCAGAGGTCTGCAAATCGTATTCAATGGAATAATATTCAATGTAAATAAAGAAGCAACTTCGTATAATTCAAGTAATTTGTTGTTGTATTGAACTAGTTTAAATGTCATTCCTTTAAGTCTAAGCTTTGTTCTCTTCTTTTCTAGATAAATGAGCTCTCTAACTAGAAAATTATCTGATCTAACACCGTAATAAGGAAATACGTTCTTGCAAGGGTCATCGAGGTATTGATGATCTAACTCTTGTTCTGTTTTATGAACTAACGATTCTAATGATTCTATTACGTTGGTAAGTCTGTTGTATTCGCGTGTATGTATCCCTTGTCTTTTCATTTGAAATTTTTGATTGCTTTGCTGAGAATTATTATCATTTTGGGTGAGAAATTCGATATTTTCAAGTAGTTTATGATGAGCTTCAACCCAGTCATCAAAGCATATTCGTGGCTTTGAGCTTTCACTCATTTAACTTTACTTCTTATTTTATGAATTTATTTAGAGGGTGTCCAACCAAAATAACCTTAAAATGAATTTTACCTTTTTGAGTTTTTCTTCATATTCAGAGGAAGTAGAGAAAAGTTTAAACGGTAAATACATGCGAATGCATATCAGCATTATGCTCGAGCTGGATTTGTATATTTTTCTTTTCGTAATTTGAATAAATTTGAAAAATACTGATTTATAAAATTATAATAAGAATTATAATTTACATTAAATATCTGATAAAATAATAAAATAAAAATGATGATTTTTTGAATCAAAAAATTGAACGATGATTTTTTCAAATTATTATATTTATTGTAAAGGCGTGTGGGCAATTTTAACGACATTTTTTAACGCGATACGAGCGTAAGTCCATAGAATGTGTTAGTAGTATATGAGGAGGGTTGTGTGACTTTTTTTGTAAACGTAAGAATTCATACAATATTGAACGATTTTGTATCATTTTTTTTAACATATGAAGTAAAAAATGTATGATTCTTACGGTTTTTATTCTTACGTTTTTGAATAAATCAAGATTTTAAAAATTTTCAGAATCGTAAGAAATTTACACTCAGCCCATACATAACGAAATAAATAAAAAATTAAAATTAATTTTAAAATAATTTATATTTCATCACTTATAAAAGAAGCTATATATAGATGATGTCAGATATTCCGAAAAAATAAAGTTAGATTTTTTTATTTAATATAAAATGTATGGAAAAAGAATAATATCTGATTTTGAACATTATTTGATTGATTTACTAATTGATCCACAAAGCTGTTGTAAAATTAATTTTGAATTTAAAATTAAAGGAACCGTAAATTTTGTATTTATTTATCACTTAAAAGAATATGACCGATATCATAATTTGATATATGAAACTAATATAATATTTGAAGATAACAAACTTACAAGCTTCGAACATGAAAAAAAGAAAGAGATTGAAAAGCAATTCAATGAATGCCTTTTAAATACATATGCGCACATTATAAGACATAAAATGAAATTAATTCCTTATTAATCAAAAATATTTTTTATCTGATAGAAATAATACCTACAAATGACGGTATATAAAAAATTCATGTCTTACGAAAATTTAACCTTAATTTTAAAAATAATTTATTTTTTTATTTTTTATTTTATAATAAATGAGTATAACAACTAATTCATTGAAATCTTTAAAGTTCACTAATTCAGAATTAGAAAATATTTTAGAAATTTTTGGAGACGGTTCTTATCCAACATATATGCAGAATGTGAAAGAGTTTTCCAGATTGTTGAATGAATTTAAATATAACGGACCAATTACTAAAAAGGCTATAATGAGATATTTATATCCCAAAAAAGTTGAAAAACAGGAGAATATTCCTCTTTATGGTCCAAAGGACCTGGGCTCAGAGAGCCTTGAAACACCTCCTGAATATTTTGAAGAAAAAATTAAACAAGATGAATATTATAACGATGAGATTGAGAAATTGGAAAAATAAGAGATGAAATAGATGAAAAAATTAAGGAATTAAGAGAAGTTGAAAAATATAATGAGAATGAAGTAGAGGGTTTAATGAATATCCCAGCTTCAGAATCAGAAGTTCAAAAATCACATGAGGAAAGATATAAAAATTATGTCTCAGAATCAACACAAAATTTATTAGATGGTGATATTGACGAAACACTTTCAGAAGAAGGCACAAAATTTATTCATAAACATAAGTTACAATTTATTGACGATGGAGATTACCCATGTATATTACTTTCACCTCCTCTTGATTCTGAAAAATTCAAAAAAGCACTGAAAAATGTAACATATGCAACAAATACGATTAAGAAAGAAGATCATGATATTTACACAAATTATTATTTAAATAAATGCACAGGTGTTGATAAAGTTTTTGATTTATTAGATAAAATATCAAAAGAAACCATTGGAACATATAAAATTTTATGTGATTGTGGTTTCATTGTTGAAGATACTAATAATGTTTCATATGAAAGAACAGCACCGAAGGAAGACGAAGTTGAAAGGTCTATACCATTTGTTATTAAGAATATAAAAGATATGAAAACTTATAAACATTATATTTATTCATTTATTTCAGAAAAAATGGAAGCAACCCATAAAACATCTTCTCATCATTTTATATTTAATTTTTTTTATTTCGTAAGAAATGAGTGACAACGAAGCAGCCAAGAGTCCAGACGATGAATATAAAAAGAAACTAAACAGAATTAAATCAAAAATATGCTATTACAAAAAGAAGCCACAATGCGGTGGGGTTGAAAACGATGAAGAAATAATCGAAAAATTAGAAACTTACCGTTCAATCCTTAAACTGAGTGAAGCAAAAATTAAAGAATTTAATAGAATAAATAAATTGATTGGAAGAGATGAATTTCATAAAGATGAATTTTTAAACTCAATCCAAATTTAATTTTTATTCCTCTTCGACAACATCTCTCTTTCCATCATTACTGCATAACCACATTTTCTCAATTTTAGTGGTTTGTTATTTTTAACATGTTCTTGCATCATTTTTATCATTTCCTCCCTTGTTATGATTCGTGGTAAATTTTGAGCTTGTGGGGTATTCATTTATGATAAAAATAAAAATTTGTTATCAGTTATTTTATCGTTAATGGTTTTTAGGTTATTCAATAATTAATTATTTTTGAAGAACTGAGGGTGCTACCATGTTACCATGTGCTACCAGGTCATTTAACTTCTCTGAAAAAGTGTGACAACATGACATTTTGACAACACATCATGGGTTATTCAATAATTAATTATTTTTGAAGAACTGAGGGTGCTACCATGTTACCATGTGCTACCAGGTCATTTAACTTCTCTGAAAAAGTGTGACAACATGACATTTTGACAACACATCATGGGTTATTCAATAATTAATTATTTTTGAAGAACTGAGGGTGCTACCATGTTACCATGTGCTACCAGGTCATTTAACTTCTCTGAAAAAGTGTGACAACATGACATTTTGACAACAACACAGGAGGAAGGCAGTTATGAATTATTTTTGAAGAACTGAGGGTGCTACCATGTTACCATGTGCTACCAGGTCATTTTGACAACAACACAGGAGGAAGGCAGTTATGAATTATTTTTGAAGAACTGAGGGTGCTACCATGTTACCATGTGCTACCAGGTCATTTAACTTCTCTGAAAAAGTGTGACAACATGACATTTTGACAACAACACAGGAGGAAGGCAGTTATGAATTATTTTTGAAGAACTGAGGGTGCTACCATGTTACCATGTGCTACCAGGTCATTTAACTTCTCTGAAAAAGTGTGACAACATGACATTTTGACAACACAGCGGGATTAATGCAAAAATAAATTCAAATCATACTTTATAAAGCTTCATTCACAGGTATTTCATCGTCAGTAAATGATTCCTCATTATCGTTTGGTTCAATTTGTTTATATAATCCTTTCATTTCTTCTTTCAAAACATAACACCATGTTTGTTTACCGTCTATTCTTCTATGTTTCCTATCACATTTATCCTTAATACTCATTTGAAAGTTTTTGTCTTTCATGTCTGATGGTTTGCAGAATAGAGCATTTTCACACGTCATACCTGCACACAATTCATCATAATGTGTATTTATCCATACATCTAAAGGATTTGATGATAATTCTATTAAATCTTGTTTGGCTTCAGTCATCGGTATGATTCGTACATTAAATGATGAAAGGTCATATTGTATAAAATATGTTAAAAGGTTATCATAAAATTCCTTTGTGCATGAATCCATTAAATTCTTGAAGTAATCAAATTGACCCTTGAATTTACCATTAACCCTTAAAACTACGTATCTTCTGTCTCCAACATCAATTTTGACAGGGTAGACGTTGTTAGTTACGAAAATGAAGTTTGCAACATTCTGAGCAGTTCTTCTGGGTTGATTCTTTTCATTAATTCTAATCTCATTGTCCGTAATAATTGATTTCAAAGCGTTGAAGTTTGCGAGTCTGTCTTCACCTACATTCTTGAGTTCATTAAGTACAAGAAACATTTTATTTTCAACAACTGAGTTGAAATTACCCGTTAGCTCACTTATTTCAGTAATGTTTTTACATGAATAACCGGCGAGAAGTTCAGAAATAATATCTGTAAATCTGTTTTTACCTGTTCCCTGAAGTCCTTTCAAAATAATTGCTGTTTCATTCTTGATTCCAGGATGTTGAATCATTGATGCAATCCAGCCGAGTAGGTATTTATACACTTCATCGTTATTATCACATATGGCTTCTTTAATGAAATCCATAAACATCTCAATTTTTGAGTAATCTACTTTTTCGAGAACGTTGTATTTATAACCTTGAAACGTTGAGAAAACATCTGGGGAATCAGATTTAAAGCAAACACCCTTAACGGTTAATGAAGACAATTGATTTAATAGTACATCCCATGCTGTTATGGTTTTACCTTCTTCTTTAAATAATTTAATCATTTTAAGTGACTCTTTCATGTTTGATTGAAGAACGAATGATATTTGATTCATTTTGTCGTGTATGTTGTAATCTTTCTGAATGAAGTATTTGTTTCCACAATCTACAAAACGAATTACACATGATAAATCCTCAATTACTTCAGAACTGTTTTTATACTGATGATTTTCAGCCTTGCGTCTAATATCTGTTATCAAAAACGAGTCATCAAGTTTGATATCAAATGTTATTTTTGGCTTACGTAATAAAGGTAAAACATATTCATCATAGTATTCCTTTTGGTATAGTTTTAGAATCTTCACTAAAACAAATGGAGAAGTCATTAAATGTGCATATCTATCACGTGCTTTTTCAAAATTACTTTTTGCATTTTCTGTTAAACTGCAGAAGTTATAAACGTTATCGTATGCTTCATTAATCAAATGATTAGGTAACGAATTAATAGCTTGAAACAGTGTGAATAATGTTATTTCTTTTTCTAAATTCATGTTTCCACCATCATTATGTACTTCAAAATCACAGATGCCATCAACTATGCTCTGAGCTAGTTTATCGTCAATGTTTACATCTTTGTTTTCATTCATTATACTCTTTATTTCTTCGCTCTTCTGTTCAACTCTTACCTTAATATTCAAATCATTTAATATATCATTCACTGTTCTAGTTAATGTTGAATCATAACTTCCACGAATGAATGAGTATGTATTGATTGGTTCTGTTGCATTCTTGCGAACTCTTGAATCAGCCATGACTACTAAAGAACGTTTTGAATCATCCATAGAAGTCATTATGTCAATATCATAATCATTGCAGGAATAACATTTAATCATTCTGTTCGAAACTGCATAGAAGAAATTAGTGTTGCAATAAATGTGAAGACCTCCTGATGCGGTTTTAACGATAACATCTTTATCCGAAAGTTTTGATAAAATGTCTTTTCTAACTGTTTCTTTAAGTTCATCATTGTACGATTTATTGATATTCAACATCTATAATCGTTAAATTTGAAATTTTATTTACTAATAAAGCCATACCAGTTTTCCTTCCTCTTCCTCCATCGTATTTGAGGTAGTTATGTAAATCAATCCTGTTTTCACCAATTCTTTCGTTGAGGGTTTTAGTTTCTGCCACAACTAATTCCGCAACTAATGAATCAATAACTTGTTCATCAGAAACGATAAAGTTGCTGTTGTTGTTTGTTGCTGTCATTTATATAGGAATAAAAAAATAAAAATAATTTTAAAACTAACTTTATTTTTGGACTGCATCAAATTTTCTGTGTTGTTGTCAAAATGTCATGTTGTCACATTTTTTCAGAGAAGTTAAATGACCTGGTAGCACATGGTAACATGGTAGCACCCTCAGTTCTTCAAAAATAATTCATAACTGCCTTCCTCCTGTGTTGTTGTCAAAATGTCATGTTGTCACACTTTTTCAGAGAAGTTAAATGACCTGGTAGCACATGGTAACATGGTAGCACCTTCAGTTCTTCAAAAATAATTCATAACTGCCTTCCTCCTGTGATGTTGTCAAAATGACCTGGTAGCACATGGTGACCTGGTAGCACCTTCAGTTCTTCAAAAATAATTAATTATTGAATAACCTAAATCATTTACTCACAATATTTTTGTACAAAACGACCCCAAGCTTTTAACTTCTTTTCTGCAGCTTCTAATGCTATCTTAGCGAGTTCATATTCTCTAAATTCTCTCTTTAAATTTTCTTGTTCCCATTGGTCTAGTTCGTATGGAGAATCTCTATAACCATAACATAACTCACGTTCATGTTCTAATTGTTTTTCGCACATTTTTCCAACTTCTTCTTCAAACAAAGGTTTAGCATTCTCTACTGTATCTTCAAGTTCTTCTTCATCTAATTTCTCATGAACTTTCTTGTCTATGGAGTCCATAATATCTTTGACATAAAATGCATACTTTACAGAGCACCATTCAGCAACAAAATGAACGAGGTCAGGATGTATGTAAATACCTTTGAATTCATTTATAACACCCTTTGTAAGCTCATAAAATGCTTGTTTTGAGGTCGAGCCACTTTTGGCTCCACCGTATTCGTTCATCCAAAACTCAAGAATTTCCTGTATTTTAGCACTATTGAGAAATCTGTTTAAATGGTTTAACTTTCCTGCTTCTCTTGCCATCTTTGTTGCATTAATGTAACCATCCTTGTCTCTACGTAAGACTTCAATACCGTTATAAGTGCCTTTTGTGAATGTTTCGCCATTAGATTTGTTAGTGAATGTTTTTGCTTCGACTGACATTACTGTCTTTACATACAAAATAAAAAAATAAATAAAAATAATTTTAAAACTAACTTTATTTTTGGGTCATTTACACTCATTCCGATGAAGTCATGACAAATCATTTTCTGTGTTGTTGTCAAAATGTCATGTTGTCACACTTTTTCAGAGAAGTTAAATGACCTGGTAGCACATGGTAACATGGTAGCACCTTCAGTTCTTCAAAAATAATTAATTATTGAATAACCTAAATCATTTACTCATAATATTTTTGTACAAAACGACCCCAAGCTTTTAACTTCTTTTCTGTAGTTCATCCATTACTTCATTACCTAATTAATTACAGACATAAAATATATTTAGTTCATTCGGTAAGCCTAAACCCTTTGGGTTAAGTGTGTTCATTGAACTCTATACCATGCGAATACAGTCATAAATGGCGGCATGTATTCTTTACTTTGTCCCGTTGTTTGTGTATATCCTGAAACGAAATGTGTATGGTTCCTTTCTCCCTGAGTGTCACTCCAGTAACAATTTATGGCAAACTTAACGTCGTCTTTAACATCATATCCTTTACCTTTTGTCATTCCTGACCAATCCCAATATCTATGCTTATGCCAACCTGCTTGAGATGTGCTTAAATCTATGTAGTGACTGTGTGCAGGTAAATTTTCACCTGAAATCGTTTTACTTCCACCTGTTTCCTTTGAAGAGTTTGCACAATACAAAAACCTGTCAACTATTTGTTCCCATGCACCAACACCAAACATTACTTGAGGACCTCTTGCATCCATAGATGTATAAATAGAACCTACTGGGTTCATTAAATCAAACATATGAGATATTATAGGATTGTCTCTTTTGAACTTAAAATATAGTGTAACTATTTCAGGTTTCTTCTGGTTTGTGTCAGAATATTTTTTATAATATAATCTTATGTTTTCAGGGTAGGTAAAATCTTGACTATAATATTTATTTCTGTCATCTGTATAATAATATACTATTCTCGTTTTTTCTATTGCATTATATCTTTTATATCTATAATAATCTAAATATAATGTTAACTTTTGTTCATCTACATGTGGTGTTCTGACATCATCTCCATAGTCATAATAATATGGTGCTGGAGCTGGGTCAGGCAATGTCATATCTGCCATTTCATAAACTCTTAAATATTTCTTTTGTTCGTCTCCATATAAGTTTAAGTAGCAGTTGTTGTCTAATGGAACTTTAACTTGTGTGTCATCATTCTTTTTATAACTTACATACATTTCATTGTTATTTTTCGGAATGAGTTTCCACCGTATACCATTTTTTAAGGAGTGTACAAACTGCCATCTAAATATTTATTTTCTTCATTGACAGAAAAGTCGCCAACAATAGTTTCAATATTTTTTGTTCCTATCAAACTTTGGTATATTTCGTTAACATATGTTTTATCCGCTTTAAGGTCTAAACATCCTGAAACCCATCCTGTATCAGCTTTAGTTTTTAAAATCTTTGATGTCCATTCATGATACCATTCAACACTTTCTTTAATTTCATTATCTTTTTCGTTAACATATGTTTTATCCGCTTTAAGGTCTAAACATCCTGAAACCCATCCTGTATCAGCTTTAGTTTTTAAAATCTTTGATGTCCATTCATGATACCATTCAACACTTTCTTTAATTTCATTATCTTTTTCGTTAACATATTCCTTATCTGCTTTCTTCTCTAACGCAGCAGCAACACATTCCTTATCAGCTTTCTCCATTATGTCATTTAGGAAACCTTTTATGAATTCCTCATTTAAATTAAATCTTCCAATCTTCAAAACTTTAGGAAATGCATTTAATGCGTAATATCTTTGTTCTTCTGGTGGAATTGATGTTATATCATCCGTTATACCTTTAATTTTTGAATTCATAAATAAAATTTCTTTTATATTTGATATCACTGCACCACCTTTGCAAACGAATTCGAAATGGTCATTTTTCAATACTATCTCCAAATCTCCATATTTCAACCTTTGCGTTTGTTCTGCCGTCTTTGAATTATATGCATATATGGCGTATGTAATGGTCTGAGGGACCTGGGTGCTTTGTGCCTTAAGTTGTTGTGGTTGCTGTTGTTTAATCATTTATTATGATTTAAAAATAAATATTTAATCCGTTATCTCATCACCTATTTTTTCTATTTGAAATTGCCATAATATTTCATTCATGAATTCTAAATCACAATCAAATAGGTCAGTTATTCTAAATTTAATATTTGATAAATCTTTTGAATGAAGAATAAATGAATTCCCGGATAATTGAAACGGATATGATAAAGAAAATGTGTTTAAGTTGATGGATAAAATGTTTTGTATTGATGGGTAAGAGTTAGGGTCTAATGTTTGATGTGAAAATCTCATTGGGGTATTAACTTTATCACATTTGATTAAAATGAAATTGGAACCAGTGTCAGAATACAAAACATCCCCAACATCTTTTTCAAAATTTAATATCCCCAACAATGAACGAAAATGAGGAGTACAAAATTTAATTTTCAGCGGGAATTTAATAAGGTTATTTATTTCATCAAGTTCAAAAAGTTTATCGGTTTTGATTTAAAATTTTCTTCATACCATACGATAAATGATTCATTTAAATAACTTAAAATCATGTTAATATCCCATTTCGTTATCACATTATTTATATACATATCATACGTTTTTTCATGGTCATCTTTAATAAATGATATATAATCTGAAGGGTCTAAAAGAATGGGATTAAATTTACCACTCACAGAAACGAGAGTAACATTATAAATTCCGCTAACTGTTAAATTTAATTCACAGTTATTATTCGAAATAATATTGATAATTGACATTTTTATTACGATTAAAAATATGGTAAAGCGTTATTTTCCAGTGATAAATAAAACTAGAATAAGATTACCTCAAGAATTCATAAATTCAACGAATAAGAAATTCATTCATGTTATAAATTTTAGTGTTTTCAGAAAATATGAGTCAATGTCATATTCATCAACAGGTTATATTTCACTTCATTCAAATTTAGTTCAATCAAACCCATATAATGACCATTTCATAAGATTTTCAGATGGTATTAAAAATGTAATTGATAGATTAAAATATGAACAGATTGACAATATCGAATTTTTGGAATTTTGGTTTAAATATCCCGATGGAAAAAAGATTGAAGTTAAAGATAAAGCTGATACTATAACAAAAACAATTACAATGACCGATCCAGATAGTGGGGAACAAAAAGAAATAAAACAAACGATAGAAACTGGTGAAAGGTCAATTATTATTGATTATGATTCAAAGGATTATTATTCGATAATGTTAATGCTTGAATATTAAATAGCCTTAACAAAGAATTTTTCAAGTGATATTTTATATTCATCAACTATTTTATTATAAATATCATTATATGTTAAATGAAGTTCAGTTGTTGTTCCGTTCTTTGATATCTTAATTGTGCTAATATCCTTTATAGGATTTATTTTTGCAACTGTTCCGCAGCATGAAACCTCATCATCTATGAAAAATTGAATCTTAACGTCTGAATCTTGAACATCACAAAGAATGGCGATAATGTGAATTAATGATTCATAAGGTAAAATAATTAAACCGGATTGGTCAATTAAATTTATTATTGAATCATAATTATTAATTATTATATCACGGTAAATTTTCATTAATTCAGAATTAATGTCTATTTTATATGGGTTCTCGATGTTTGATGAAAGAGGTGGGGGGTATGTTGGATAAGTGGGAATTTCAACAGGTTCTTTACCGGGTTCAGATAAAATGATTGGGTCTCCATTCTCATGGTTTTCTTCATTCTCTTCATTCTTCGGTAAGTCACGAGTTAATAAATTTGGTTGAGTTGCTGACCTTGTTAATTCAGGACTAACATTAACTTTAACATTTTGAATAATTCGTGATTTATCATCATTTACGTTATAACCAACCGTAATCTCTGCTTTTGCGTTTGTGTTCTTTTGACTTGTGAAACGTCTTCTCATTTATAATCGAATAAAAAAAAGAAAAATATATTTAAAGTTTTATTTAGTTGTTACGGTAATATCCCAAGGTTCATCATTGTTTGCTTATACTTTCTTTGTAACTGCACCAATTATGTTATTGATATTGCTTTGAGTTTCTTCCAGTCTTATTTTATCATTTACAATATCTTTAATCATTTCATTACATGCATTCTTAAAACCATCTGATTTTTCTAATTTACGTCTATCACTTTCTTTAATTAAATCAAAGTTATAACCTTGTTGAGAATAAAGTGGTTTCTTTATCAATTCCTTGAACGCTTCTGAAAGTGAAGATGAAGAAATTCTTGCCACTTGAATTGGTTTAAATTCTGCTTTCATTGCTTCTTTCTGTTCATTGAACACTGGATCGAATAAAGCAACTTTAAAGAATTTCTTAGCTGGAATTTCAGGTCTAATATTTGCATATTGACCATCAAACTGATTAACATATCGTGGTAATCCATCCGGTCCCTCTTCAATAGCATTTAATTTTTCATTGAAATAAGAATATGGAATAAGATGGTATGAATACATTGGACCATTTTCACCTTCTCCAATGTATTGTTTAACAGCTTTTCCATTTTCATCAAATTTCATAGGATAACATT